TACCCAGTTTTTGGCCAAACACCAGTCTAGATATCTTTGTGAAGGTATGTTTTTAGATGAGATTAACATTTAAATCATTAGACTTTCAGACTTCTTTTGGACCCAGGCTTTAACATCAGCTCTTCCCTGGGTCTCCAGCCTGCAGGCAGGCCCTGCAGATCTCAGATTTGCCAGCCCCCACAATTGCATGCACCGATTCCTTAAAATAAATTGAGAGAGAGAGAGACTGAGAGATAGATAGATAGATAGATAGATAGATAGATAGATAGATAGATAGATAGATGGATGGATGATATTTCTCTGGAGAACCCTGACTAGTACATCTCCGTTTTACAAATGATAAAACAAAGCCCTAGAGAGATAAAATAATTTGCCATGGGCCACACAGCTAGTCAGCAGCAGAGCAGAGTGCGGGCTGCTCTTTCTGGCAGGGCCATCCTCCTTCTAGTCAAACTAGAGCCCATGTGCCTCCTAGCCTGTGGCCAACAGCCACACGAGGGGCATGTGAAGAGTTGGTTGTGTTTAATCCTGTCATCGGTTTATTGGAAAGCTTTTCGCTGCAGCCTGCGTGAGGGAAAACGATTTGCTCGGGATGAATGTGGCCACCAATGCATTCCTTCCCTTAATCTAAACAGAGCCTCAGACACACTTCATTGATCATGCCTCTAAGCTGAAAGGTCGCCTTAATGCTGGCCAGCAAATATTATGTTTCTCAGGCAGCCCTATGCTGTCAACCACATTTCCTGATCTACTCTGATTAGATATATAAACAGCTTCAGTAAAACAGAGCCCAAGCTTTGCTGTTAAAAATATAAGATAAGGCTTCCATAAAGATTCATCAACAGCAGAGACGCTGTCTAAGTTAGGCCTGAACCCTCAGAGCTCACAGCTTCTTTTTTTGGTGTTGTAAGAAGGTCAGTGGGCAAATAACCATGATTTATAATCGTTTTAATAGGGGCTGGTGCTCCGGCTAAGGGACACACTGGGGAGAAGAAAGGGTTAAAATAATTGAGCAGGGTCACAAAGTGGTCTTGCATTAACGACCCAGCACATGATCGACATTACTAAAAGTTACTTAGTTATTTTGTGTCTGCTAACAAGTGTGACCCTGTCCCAGCTAAGAACAGGGACGAAGGGGCTGATGCCTGCATGGTGCAAAAACATGAAGGAAGAATAAGGACTTCTCTGAAACTCCGAACAAACTAGTCAGTTAGGGAAATGAAGCAATCAAAACCACACATTTTAGGGGCTGGCCAGGTGGTGTAGTGGTTAAGTTTGCACGCTCCACTTTGGCGTGCCAGGGTCTGCGGGTTTGGATCCCAGGCGCGGACATATGCACCGCTTATCAAGCATGCTATGGCGGCGTCCCGTATAAAGTAGAGGAAGATGGGCACGGATGTTAGCCCAGGGCCAATCTTCCTCAGCAAAAAGAGGAGGAGTGGCAACAGATGTTAGCTCAGGGCTAGTCCTCCTCACACCCAAAAAAAAAAAAACCACACATTTTATACCTTCATCCATCATGCCTGCTTCAGATACATCTTGTACCATAAACACGTGCGAGGCAGGACAAGTTTCCGGCATTTTATTATAGATATGTATGTTTAATTGGTATGCGTTTCAAAATACTCCTCTAACATTCGTCCTGAGGGTGGACTCGAGGATCTAAAGGATTTTTCCAGCTCCAGTTCCTTTGAATGTGAACATGTGCCTTTTCCAGATAATTTTTTGTATTTGTTTTTGAGAAGGCAAAAAAGGGTTGTCAATATTGGTTTTAAAGAGGAAAAAGTAAGATGAGACTATCCAAAGTTGCTTGGTGCGAAAATGTCAGAAGTTAACATACTAGATGAAGTTTTAACGTGCTCTGATATTTATAGATAACTTCTAAAAGACATTTTGCTCACATAAGAGCTGACTACTCCCCACTTTAATGATCACTTGCAATTTTCCGAAACTAACCAACACAATCTCTACTCAATACTAAACATAACCAATGACAAACACTGAACGGTTACTATGTACCCAGCACTGTTCTTTACACAAATTAGCTGAGAAAATCCTGTCAGCAACCTAAGAGCTCGCTGCTTTTTTCTGTCTTTATTTCAGTCTATGAAATTATACATGGTAAATTTATACCTTTCTCGAATTAAAATAATATTCTTCCAGGCTGATGCCTGGTTTGGGTTAACGTCAAATACAACTGTATTTTATTTTCCCAAAATAATAGGTTTATTTTCTTGCAATTATTGTAACCAATGGTTCCTATGTCTGGCTGTGCATCAGGATCACGTGAGGAACTTTCCAAAAACGCAAGTTCCTGGGCTTGACCCGGACTGCTGAACCTCTGCGGGCGGGACTCAGGAATCTGCATTCTAACAAGGAAGTGATATTTTTATTCCCTTCTCGGAAGTAACCGAGTCACATAAGGTTAAATAACAGCCTGAAGTTACACTGAGAGTGAGTGGAAGAACTAAATGCAAACAGAGGATGACCGTAGGGTTTTTTTTTATTATTGTACTTCAGTTGGTCTTAATACTGTTTGTGTTTTTGTAACAAGCAACATATTTTCTTTGTACAAGGTACTCAAACACTAAAAGCTAAAGTGACGTTAGGCTGCACTGAGGGCACATTTGGGGAACTTAGGCAACCCCTCAGAGGCTTCCAGAAAAATGAGCACCTGTGGACTGTCTTTCATTCTTTTCTTTAGGTAGAATATACTTAGACTTGGTTTACACACGCGAATGGGTTTCCATTATTAGATTGACCTGGAGAACCCCTCAGACAGATGCGGGTCTGCGAACACAGCTGTAGAGAGATCTGGGATCATCCGTGTTTGGGAGGAACAGACATAACCCTGAACCTAGAATTAGAAGCCCAGGGTGCCAGTGCTGTTCCATCACTTCCTATCTGCTCAGCCCTGAGCAAATCTCAGGACTGCTTTGAGATCACTTCTAGCTTTTCCTTTGAAGTTTCAGGGGCACCCTGAGACCCAGGGCTCCAGGCATCCTCTGAGAGGAGGGCAACAACCTCCCTGAACGAAAGCTCAGAACAGACGTTCAGGACACGCTTTCGTGAGCCCATTTCTGAATAAAAGCACATTCTTCAAGAGGGACAAAACGTGAATCTCTGATAAAATCCAGGCATGGAGAGCCTTAGAGAATGTTCTCACTTGTAGTTCAGATTGGCTTGCTTGACAGGACACCTCCTCTCCCAGCCTTAGGTGCTGGGGAAGGACAGGGTGCGTTTAGCTTTCCATCTGCGGAACGAACGTTCTGTTCTGCGTGTCATTTTAAAAGTTCCTGCAACATAGTTCCCCACATTTTCTAAGGGAAGGAATTTTATATTATAAACGTTACACCCGGGGCCTTTTCTGTAACAGTAAATTATTTCCTTAATTTTGTCTTAATTCCTAAGTACACAATGCAGAGATAAACAGATTCGGCCTTTTACTATTTAAAGCTCTGAAGTATTTATATATAAACCCAGGAGCACCGCTATCCATAGTGTGCAGGGTGATAGGGATCAGGTTAGTCTGCCTTAGAGTGCATTCTTTGGTTGTAATTTCCTGTTTATTCAAGGTAAAGAAGGGTCTTGCTACCACAGACTGGAATCAGACACAGGCCATTTGCACCCACGAGAGCTGAAGTTACAAGGACCATCTCTGTTTTTTAAACAAATTGTTTTGACTCTAACCTCTACAGGGTTTAGCCCTGCCCATTTCCTCATCATGTTTATGCTCTGTTGCTCTATTTACATATTTCTCCCAAAACCCTATGATTGCAGCTGCACACATTGTGATTTCTTTCCACTATAATGTAACACCTTTTCCTTCTATATCACATCCCGCAACTGCTACCTATGGCATTGCCAAATCCATTCTCTTCTGCTGTTCGCTGTCTGTTGATTACCTCGCAACATCTGCAACAAATGTGAAGCTGCCAATGATTCGATTTACAAAATAAAGAAATAGGACAATTCTTTGCATCCCTAGCTTCATGAAATGCAATTTATCCTACCATACCTGTTAAGTTTAGTTAAACTGAAAGAAATGTTAGTCTCCCAGACTGAAGTGTGAACAACTCAACTAACGAGGCTGAGCCTTGCAAGTCCTCTGGGCCTTCACCATTATTAGCACAGTTAGAGCCCTGCATTGCTGACTACTGCCCTGCCTTTGTGCCCTACTTCTTGTTGGTAAGGTCTTTCAGAATGCAACTGCGATTGGTGATTAAGCTCTTTGCTTTCAAAGCAAATACCCAAGAAACACTCATTTTTGGTTTCTGACTAATCTTCCTATTTTCAGATGCAATGCTGACTAATCTTCCTATTTTCAGATTCGATGCTGAGTGGACTTACAGAAATGCAAAGTAAGTAGGTAGTTTAAGAATTAGCAAAAGTTCCTTAGTGAGAAATTGATCTAGCATCAAGCGACATCCACGTGGGTCACTAGAACACATTTCGAGAATATCTTATAATCTTACAACTAGATCTACGAATGAGCCCATGCACAGTGCAGGAGATAAATAGGCTAGATCTTCTGGAAATTCTAGAGAACAGTTAAGTGATGACCCTTTTCATTTTCTGTTTCTGTTCTGATTCAGTTTTAACTCTTGCAGGGTGTTAGAGACTTTTATAGGGTCCTGAATATTGCTCTTCTAATCCGATGTTTGTCAACCTCGGGCTGTTGACATTTTGTGAATAAGTCTTTGCTGTGGGAGCTGTCCTGTACATAATAGGATGTTTAGCCTCATACTCATTAGATGTGAGTAGCGTTCCCCCCGCCCCCACTGTGACAACCAAATGTCCCTGTCCCCCATTCTTTGCCCCCCATTGAATACCACTGCTTTTATCCTATACTCCTAAAGTCATAGAGGGCAGAGTAGGGAGCAGGATGCAGCTCCACCGAGCGGGTAAGGGTAGGTACTTCCGATGGGCCACGTGGAGACTCTACAGAAGGGAGTCAGCCACTACCCATCTTGTAAAAGACCCCTCCCTAGAGGACTTCCAGCCGGGGATGAGGAACTTAAGCCAAAAAAGGCTGGATATATGATATTGAATATAAAAGGTGGGGAGACAAAAATGACCAGCAGAGGAGCCATAACTTACACAATTTGAGGTCCCCAGCAGAAGACTCAAGAACTCACAGTATCATCCCGTGAGAGAGTCTGCTTTGGAAGTCTGCCATACCCGAGGGCATCGTTGTTAGATTAGAGCTGCACTAATCAATTAAGACTTCTCCTGCTTTCCCCTTCCTGTAGGAACCAGAGGCAGCATACTGAATGTGGAAGGAGGGATTGATGAGGAAAGAGAGGAGGGGCCAAAGTATGACACATCCTGTCCACACTGCAAGCTTCTAAGGCAAGCCAGGCTAGGATAAGGGAAATGTTAAATTAGGTGAGAACCTTTCATTTTCAGAGCAAAATTTTTGTTACCTAAAAGTGACTGGAAGATTTTCACTAATGAGTGAAAGGAAATGAGTCCTCAGAGTACGTTTGTAGAGTCACACTTAAAATTGCTTCCAGCTTGTAATTTACCAAGTATTCAATACTATAACAGGCATATTCCCAACTTTGAGATCTTCAAACTAAATGAAAGCAACACACATTCTGCATTCAACTGCCATTATTCATAGGAAAATAAAATGCCCTAAAAGAAGAAAAATATTGGTTTCTGTTCACAGAAGGTTGTGACCCGAACGTTGTCCCATCTCTACCCTGTTTTGGCTTTCTTTCCTGTAAACAGTCAACTTTCCTGGGTATTATGTTCTTGCTTCTTATGTTTCTTTTCATGTCTTTAGCCTGTATCCCATAGTGATGAGACACATTGCTGCCTACTCTCCTCTGTAGATGTGGTAAGGGAACAGCCACAGAGCTCCTGCTGCCTCCAAGCCTTTTAAAGGACACCTTAATAGGTGGGGCTGTTTTCCAGGAAGACAACCAAGGTGTAGAGAGGTCTAGACAAAATATTTCACTAAAAATATTGAGGGAAATGGGCTTATAGAGAGAGAGAAGGGAATGAATTGAATAATAAAATGCCCAATAATAATCTTTCAATTTATAAAATCAAACTGGAAAAATTTTGTGCTAACCAAGAAGTCTAGTTAGAGCAGGAGTTAGAAGCAGCAGATATAAAGTTAAATATGAACCACCATTCTAAGACTTTGCCTGTGCTGGTGATTGGATGGCTATTCATCAGGAAAACACTAGAAGAGATCTTAAATTGGGCAAAAGAAAAAAAAGTAGATGAAAGTGTCATTATTGTAGTCAATTCAGTTATTGGTGGTATTTATTGGAGGCTGCTCTGGGGCAGCCCTGAAGTCTCTGTTCATTACCATCCTCACTGGCATTCCCTTATTTCTGGCTCTGAGAAGGGCTAGGCCTGCTTTGTCCTCAGACTATGCCCTACCCTTCACCCTCAACCTTGGCCTGTACAGGAAGGCAGAACAGGGCCCCTGAGTGTAGATGATGAATAAACTCTGCCTTTGCATTGAATCACTAAAAGATTTTGCCTTTCTTCTGTGCTATCAGATACTGGACAAGAAGAAAATGGACTTTTTCCCCAGGTTTATTGAGATATAATTGACACATAACATTGTCTAAGATGTACAAGGTATTGATTTGACACATTTGTAAATTGCAAAATGATCACCACCATAGCTACCACATCCACCCTATCACGTAGTTACCATTTCTTTCTTGTGGTGAGAACATTTAAGATCTACTCTCTTAGCAACATTCAAGTATATTAAACAGTATTATTAGCTATAATCACCATGCTGTACTTCTTTTTATTTATCTTCCCCTTTTGGAAGTCTAGTCTCTCGATCATGAACTTCAGCCCCTGGCCTGCCTTCTGTTCTTAAGCAAACACTTTCAGATAACTAATGACATCAGTGTAATCATTTACTGTGTCCACATTCTGGGAGAGACAATAACTTCAGGAGCTCCGGCTGGACCATCAACCACGGAAGCTCATCCTCTGCACCCACGTGCTGTTCCTTGTAATAGGCACTCAATAAATATCTTTAGAATAAATGAATCAGTCAGCCAAGAAAGCTTAATTTTATCTTATTTTAATTTCTGGGGAAATAATTTTTTGTTGCATTTTTGTCAGTAATAGGATGAAAATATGTTTTTAAAATAATGTCCATCAGTTAATTAGAAGGATTAATTTTGTGCTCCTTAGCTGATAACTGTCACAGTAGTGAATTGTGTTTGCCAACAGGATCTGTAGAAAGAAAATCAGTTGAAGCGTTGTAAGTAGAAAAAGACCAAAGTAGAATTGCAACACAATTTGCAGAGGCTGAACAAAGGAGAGCTCAATTTACATCCCGTTACTATAGAAAACTGAAAGTTACTTAGAACAGCCTGGCACATACGAAATGCTCAGTAAGTGCATTACTGAGCATTGATAAGATGATATCATTATCATCATCATCATCCCGTGGTAACAAGATAATTTTAAGCGGCATTCAGATAAGACATTAAATAATGTCAAGTTACACATTGATGAAGTTATTTCCTTTTTAATTTGATTTCAGTTATTCTGATAACCTCCAGAAGAATGTTGCCAGGTGGTACTGGTATATCTTCTACACTAGACCTCAAGCTCAGAGCTGGAATTTAATAACATTGTATTGTTTTCATTGTATTTATTTATTATTTTTATTGAGGTAACATTGGTGTATAATATTACATAAATTTCAGGTATACATCATTATATTTTGATTTCTGTGTAGAATACATCATGTTCATTGCATTTATTTTTATCATCGCTTTCTGTTTATTACAAACAATATTGATTTTTATTAATGGTAGTGTTTCAAGTTTCCTTTAAAATAATATATATTTATGTGTATAAAGCAAGTCGATTTAAAGAAAATGTGAAGTTCCTGTTAGGACAGGAGGTATGTAGATCAGGCAAAATCCTGATGGTGGAAGGCATATGTCTAAGGAGTTCCCACAAAGGCCCCAGTCCGTTCAATTTTGCAGATCTCTTAAACTTAGGCAAGTTTGAGGTTTTTGTTTTTGTTTTTGTTTTTGGTATTCTTTTTCTTTGAGCAGCTGACCAGCGTGGCTCCACCATTTCAAAGAGCAAGTGTATATTTATGGAAGCCTGAACGGAGCTGGAGCTGGTGGGAAGTAGAAGAGGGCTGAGCGGTCAGATCCCGGTTCAAGCGCTGCTGCCTCCCGCAGCCCGCCGCACTCGCCAGTAAGAGCACCCCGCCAAGCCACCCGCCTTCCTGCTTAGGGTCCCTCGACCTCTCCGAGAGTCAGGGGAGTCTGGGCTGGCGGCCCTGCCCTGCGAGAGCTGGGGAGCATCGCTCCCGCGCCACGCGGGGTGGGGGCGGCCGGTGGGCGAGGGCTGGGTGGGTCACGCGGGGACCGGGGGGCGCGGGCGCGGGATGCTCGTCCCCCGGCGCCGACTCCCGGCTCTGCTGCGCACGGTCGCCTCCGGACGGTGGCGGCGGCAGGCTGAGTTGCGCGCAGCTTCACGGATAAGAATCCCGCGCCGCCCTCCCCTTTGCAGGTTAGGATTGTGACCCCCTTTCCTCCTGCAGGCAGCGACCCTCAGGGGCCTAGGCTCACTCTTTGCAGGGGGCTGTTTCAGTGGCTTACAGGGAACCTGTCCTGCGTATCCCACCTGTCTGAACATCCTGCCCCTAACCGCGATGTGCAGACCCTTCGCGGGACTTCTGTCCCATCTCTCTCGGCTTCAAAGCCACGGAAGCCGGCGAGAGAGGAAATGACCGTGGGCAGGACGCTTCCTCCAGCCCGGTAACCCAGCCCGCAGAGAACCTACTTCCATTCAGCGCCTTCGGCCTGGGCGCTTAAAAAGTAATAAAGAAAGTATGCAGGCCAAGATGTCTTGGTTCCATTTCCAGTGCCGTCACGAAGGAGCTGCGTGACCTCAGACGAGTGACGTTACACGAGTAACCTTCTCTGGACGTTAGTTACTGCGTCTGAAAACGGATGGAGTTGGACCACGTGACTGTTAAGATCCCTTTCAGTTCTGATGGTCCCAGATGCTAAACTTCTGCTTCCTGAGGATTTTTAATAATATAACACCATCTCTTCCCTTAGGAATATTATACACTTTTAGGGAACAAGACTAACAATTAGAAGACACATACCACAGACTTGTTTCACGAATGGCAAAACGAAAAGAAAAACTAATAAAATATATATTTAAAAGACTCAAAAAATAAATAAATAAAAGACAATATTTATTGAGTCCTCCAAGTGCAAAGCATTTGACTAGGAATTGATGACGACAACTAAATAAATACAAGTATGAACTATGGCCCCTGTCTTCAAAGAGCTTATATATATATGACATTTCCATTAACGCATATAAATGTGAAAGAGCAGAACACAAGGCAGCACTAAGATGAAGACTAGAGAAACTGAGTATTAGGCACAAGATAGAGACAAAACTATAGTTGTGCTTAGAGAAGGAAAAAAATAATGTGTTTCATATTTCATTTGGATGATAACTAAAGCAGGGAAACAAGGCAAGAGCGGATCAGGTGATTTTTTGGGGGTTCTATGTCAAGACTCAAGACAGTCCAAATATGTCCATTATTAATGACACCCAAGTCCTATTTCCTAATAACTGCTATCATTCACTGCCATCTAGTGTTAACCAAATGAATCTTTTCCATATTATTTTGTTTTCCTAAATTTCTTTCCTAGCCCTATGTATTCAGCTTAAAATGGAGCATGCAAGCCGTCTCTCCTGAACAGCTAGTCTAGTGGGGTGAAGTCTGTGTCCTGAAAAAACCATGTGTTTCCTGCCCACCCAGACGCACCCTGTGGCTTAGGGTCTCCAGCTTATTCTCTGTTCATCTTCCCTGGACCACCGTCATTGGCACCAGCCCTCTTTCCATGGCCTTTGCTTTCAGATGCTATAATCTCATAAGACTAGATGCATCAGTTGTTAGGCAGAAAGTTTCTAGTAGAAAGAGAAAGTCTATAACTCACAAATACATTGGAGAGATGACTAAGAAAAGTACCTCTCCATTTTTGCAAGTGACTTTAAACTTTTACTCTAATAAAACTCCACATCAAGAGAAGGCTCTTAACTTTACATTATAGAAATACTTGTGTTCCAAAGGCTCTGAAATATTTTCTAAACACCAACTAAAGTTTATTTAGGTAAACATCAAATTGCTTTCATGTTTGTCTTATAACTTAACAATAGTAAATACATCTCTGGGCACGTATGGAAATGACCTTTGTTTCAAATGTCTCCAATTACTTTGTCCAAATGTCCCCAATTTGTTTCAAATACCTCCAATTGCTCATATAAAATTCCTATTACAGTTGTTTTAGTGAACTTGTTAAACAACAAAATACTATCCTTAGACTATTCAGAAACAGAATAAAAAGAAAATAATTTACTCATAATATTAAAATTGAAATCATCTATATTTATAAAACACTATCTTAAGTATTGTAACTCTATCAAGCTTCATTTTGAGTAATTTGTATAATCCCTTAACAATAGTGAAGCTAAAATATAGAAAATTCAAAATCACAGTTTATAAGAGAGAAAAATTATTGCTATATTCCTAGATCTTCAGAAGTAAGCTTATTTGGAGGTTGCATTAACTTCCACTCTCAGGTTGTAGAGATAGGAGAATGAACCCAGCATTTGGTAGAGAGACATTTTATATTGGTAATGGAAGATATGTTGGAGCAGAAAAATCTCTTGTTCCCTTCATTTAATTCATTCACTCTTTCCCTCTCTGTTTCAGTTTCTTGATAAGGTAGCTTTATGCTTACCTGAAGATGGAGATTTTCATCCAAACCCTTAAGCTGTTTTTCATTCTTCTGATATATTTGTAAGGCTGTTTTGGCTCTAGACACTTGAGACTGGATTTTGATGCCACTTCTAGAATCTAGAGTAAATCCTTCTTGTACTGTCATCCGTTAGTTCAGCAATCAGTGGTGTGCTAGGCCTTCCCACACCAGCTTGAGAGACTAACGTCAAATTTTCAGGAATTTTGCAAGTACCCACGTATCTCTTTTTTTTCCTGAAGTTTTTTGATTCCTGAGGTTATCAGAGCAGGAAGAAAGTTGCTAACTAGTCCTTATTTGATTAAGCATATTGATAGCCAGGGACCAGCAGCTACTGAATTCAGGGAATGAGCAGAGCATCAGGAGACAGGAGGAGAGAGAGCTCTGGAAGTGAAAGTATAGGCAGTAGGCTACGGATGCTGTCAACTCACAAGGAGGGAAGGTAGCTTTCTTTAATAAAACACACACACACACACAGAGTCCAAACTTCCAAAGTTGGCTCTAGAATAAGTTCTGCTATTTGGGAAGAAGAGAGTGAGGGACCCTGCTCTGTCACGTCTGCCGTTAGAGTAAGTACTGCTACCCCTACCATATTGGCCTTAGGCGGGCTCTGCTTCATCATTTAAATATTCTCACCTAAGTCTGCCCAAAATCCCTTGACTCAATAACTGGCCCACAGCCTGTTTCACAGGAATAAAATGTTCAAAAATAAACTATAGTAAATTCTTCAGAAAGAAGAGAAATAAACACACAGAGTGTCAGAAAACTAAATAATTTGGCTTGCAAAAAAAGTGCTTTCTCTCTGGGGGCTTTCAGCCGTTATCCCATTCCCCATGGACCTCCA